TATGGGAGCTATATCCAAATCTGAACCGATTTCCTTATAATTTAGCAAATATATTTTCTAATCAAATCCCATCACCTATGCCTAATTTAGAGACTGTATATGTCATCGATCAATAAATATATGCATATAAAATCTAAATTTTTGGGAGGTACCTCCAATTCTGATGCTATATCTCTAGTTCCAAGTGGAATTTCAAAAAAAATATATAGCCTACTAGCTGGCCCGGTCCGCGTTGCCGGCCCATAGTTTTTGTCTATTATGCATATTTGTCAAAGCATGATTATTCAAAGATATGAATGTTATAAATGTTCACGTACTGGTCGATTAGTTTTTAATTTTTAGTCAAATGAGCAGTAATTTGGAATTTACTGTACTTTGTACAACTCGTAATTGAGGGCTAATTGATTTAAGAATAGGCAAAGTTAATTACTTTTTTGAACCCATTAGCACCTCAGATTGTGCATTAGAGTCCTCATAAGTCCCCCTAACCATGTCGGTCTGTTTGTCCGCCAAAAGGTGGACTTGAGGGGATACTATTACATGGAGAAAATCCTAAAATTTGTAGATATGTTGAAATTTTTGTGTAAGATTTTCATCCCCAAATACTCATTTTTAGCCAAATCCTTTGAAATCGAAACATCGACCTACATTGAAAACTTTCTTCACCCCTTATAATCCAAGATGACAAATAGAGGCCAAATCAAAAATATAGCTATTTTACATCCATTACCGTAAGATGGGAATTAATTTTATTTGCCATTTAAATTGTAAGTTGGAGTCCATATTTTTCATCATAGTATAATTTAATGACGATTCAACAAATATTCGGTCCCGTGCTACTTTCTTATATTTGTAATTTGTTCATGTTTTCACAATTTATTTCATATAGATGTATATCCCAAATCTACGTTCCCAACCAATATTCTCTTGGGGGTTACAAATTCAATAGAATACAAATTTTTCTTTTCTGACCACACATTAGATGTGAAAGTGGACTTGGGGATACTCCAATGTGGGGACTTTACATGAATAAATTTCTATGTGGCAATTATCTGTACGATGGTTCCTTACACCAGGGTAGCATAAATAAAATTTTTTAGTGGTCAAGACCAATATGGGCCCTACTCCGAAAATTTTATGCGAAGAGGTTCTCTACGCCCCTTAGAAACAAAGATGCAAAATAAGGGCCAAAAATAGAAGAAAATGGCGAAGACTCCAAAAATGGCTTAAATCATACGATGATTATTTATGATCGATATCATGACCTGCTAAAGCGATTTAAGGTATCTTAAATGTTCAGGCAGAATTTTTGGAAGGATAGAAATCCTTTTCTTACTAAAAGTCCCATTCGCTCTACTATTTTGCACCCTTTATATTTGGTATTTTACTGATTGTACTCCCAAAAATTTTTGCATTTTGAGCTCTCATTGGACGGATTATTGTCACATGAAAGAAGTAGGGCCACGCTTTGAAATAAGCCCCATTAGTCTTTTTCGGTCATTTTTGTTTGTTTAAATGTCTGCGCATCTTCCAGCTGAAGCACGATGTAGGCCCTGGAGTTGAAAGGTAGATGTCAGTTACCATCGTATTTCGCACTTATTTCATTTTTTGGTGAAAAATTGTATATAGTGAAAAATTATTCTTTATTTTGTTCACAAAAAATCCACTGAATTCAATATGATATTACAAATTGAAAAAAATTGACAAAAGAAGAATAACAAATTGAAAAAATCTTTAACTTGTTCGCCGATTTTTTACAGCAACTGTTTAAAGATCCTTATAAAGTTTGTCAATAGAATGTACTTTTATTTTAAAATTCAATTCCATTGGAATTTTTTTCGATATTTTCCCGTTTTGAGAATTGTTGCAATGAGATCTCTTTTTTCGTGTTTCTTTTTAACGATTTTGAAAAAGTAATTTTCTTTTAACTTTGGTGTGACCGCATTAAATTATTTCGGTATCATCTATTCCGTTTCGCCACCACATAATTCGGTACTACACTTCCATGTAACCCGTTATCAATTTCAGTTCTCAAGAAATCAAGTCAATTAAATAAATTGGTATTAATATTCGAATTCAAAAATAAAATATAAAAAACACTACAAATGTACATTAGAAAAAAGTAAGTCAAAATGGAAAAAATCATGCAAAATAAAACATTACTATTGTACATTTCAAAAGTCAAAATGAAAATGTTAACATATCACATTTTTACGCGATTTTTTTTGGATATTATCCTTTTCGGATAAGAGACAATTACGAATTTGTATGAATCATTAAAATCAGTTCAGCGGTTCTTAAGTTATAAGCGTAGTAACTAACACAACTTTCATTTATATATATAGATGTTACTTTCAGGCGATGTTGTAGTATACTTGGAAATTTTCAGGAATATCTGTTCAGCGGTTTTCGAGTCTATAAATCGCAAACAAACAAACAAACGTACAAACATTTTACTCTTTTATTGATATAGAAGAAGATCTACGTAAGCATGTTGCCTACATGCTGGGAACACGAACTGTCAATTTAAAGCAAATTCGGGTTAAGATAATGACCAAAACAACCAAAACACTTTATTTCTGGCGGTACAGTTATACCGGGGCCATACCAATATGCTTTAAATTGCTGGTACCGATTATCCGGGTACTAATGCAATGGTAACTAAACTGTGCAACAGGAAATCTGGGGGTTAAGAAATTCTAAGTGGATAGTATTCGGTTAGTAGATCAAACTTACAAAAGAGTTTTGAGTTCCTAGGCCAAACTTTTTTTAGGGCTCAATATATTTAGGCTTAACCCTACACAAAGGGCATCAAATATTTTGCACTATAATTCGCAAAATTTGCTATAAAGTTCTAAATTTTATACAGTCCTATGAGTTACATGTAGAATCATTTGTACAACATATGGGTCATGTCGGTCTATGTTTTGGTATAAGCATATACACCGGTTTCAAGTATTTTTAATATGTTAGTCATATTTTTATACCCTCCACCTTGGGTGGGTATATCATGTTTGTCATTCCGTTTGCAACATCCCTTAATATTCGTCGTAAACCCCATAAAGTACGAATATTCATGATCATCATAAAATTCTAAGTCGATTTTGTTGGAGATTCAATCGGCTTACTTTGTAATTTTTACTGTAAAGGTGGGATCACATGATTGTCGCAATGCGCCAATTTAAACCAATTTTTATTGTCCAAAGTTTTACTACAATAAATAAATTGTCACAATCAAATTCTCTGCGGTCACATGATTGTCCAACTTTTCATAAATTTGATTGCCGCATATTGTCTCAAAACTATCAAGTGACAATTATTGTCCAACTTCAGTCACACGATTGTTCTACTACACGGCAAATATCAGAAGCAGCTGCTATGTGTCAAAGTTTGTTTATTAAAAATGTTAAAGCATTTAAAAATTTGTTTTATTAAGATGTGTTCTTTAAAAAAAAAGAAAATTGCAGCAGCTATAATTATGGTGTGTGCATTTGACGATGAGAAAAATGAAAGGAAAGAAAAGAAAAAAAAAGTAAATAGAAGTACGTGGGTCAGAGAGTGGCTCACAAAAAGAAGCACTGATGGTGCATATGACAAAACATTAATGGAATTCCGGGAAATCGAAAACCAAAAGTTTTTGTTTAAAAATTTTATCCGGATGGATGACGAAACGTTTATCGAATTGTTGCAACTAGTGTCACCATATATTAAAAAACAAGACACAAACATGCGAAAGGCTATTCCCGAACAAATACGCTTAGCTGTGACACTTCGATTTCTTGCATCTGGTGACAGTTATAAAAGTCTTTCGGTCTTCTTCCGTGTTGCCCCAAATACCATATCACTTTTCGTACCAATTGTTTGTGATGCTATTTATAAAGCGTTAAAAGGTGCATACATAAAGGTATGAAAAATCTAAATACACACATATTTATGCTTTTTAATTGACTTATTATTTCTTTTGATATGTATGTAGATACCATCCACGCAGGAAGAATGGAATGTCGTTGCTTTCAAATTTAACAAACTATGGAACTTCCCGAACTGCATAGGGGCGGTTGACGGCAAACATGTGCAAATTATAGCACCACCTAATTCAGGAAGCACCTTCTATAACTATAAAGGTACACATAGTATAGTGCTAATGGCAGTTGTTGATGCCGAATACAACTTTTTATACGTTGATGTTGGCTGTAATGGTCGTGTGTCGGATGGTGGAGTCTTTGGAGACTGTACTTTTCAACGTGCTTTAAACAATAATGAGCTAAATTTGCCACTTCCAAAACCATTGCCAGGTCGTCAAGCAAATGTTCCATTTGTTTTGGTTGCGGATGATGCTTTCCGCATGCAGAAACATTTGCTGAAGCCATATCCTGGTAAAAGTTTATCTGCAGGGCAGAGAATATTTAACTACAGGCTATCGAGAGCACGACGTGTTGTAGAAAATGCATTTGGCATAATGGTCAAGCGATTTCAAATTTTTTCACGCCCTTCCAAGCTTAATGCAGAGAAAACAACCTCTACAACTCTAGCTTGCTGTGCATTACACAATTTTTTGTTAAAAAAAAATTTAAATTATACAACGTCGTTGCTTGTTGATCGCTACGATGAGGACGGTGCTTTAATTCCTGGTACATGGCGAAATGACTTCCCACTAGATGCTGTGAGTGGAACAGAAAATGTTCCAAGTTCTTATATAACAAGTGAAGCAAAGGCTGTTCGGGATGAAATGGAAAAGTATTTCATGTCTCCTATTGGAGAATTGAGCTGGCAATATAAAAATATATAAATAATTTTATATATCAAATAAAATTTAAACTTTAATTTAAAATCAGAAAATTTACTATAGTTTTATTTAATTCATTTTTAGTATCTAAAAAAATACGGACTAGGAAGGTACTTCAATATTGCAAACAAAATAACAAAACAAAAACTTACATATACATACTATAAAAATTCAATTTAAAAAATGAAATATAACGCAAAAAATTTATCAAGGCTTAATTATCTTCTTCAGCTTCCAAAGCTGCATCCATTACGACTTTGACAAGCTGGAAATGCAGTTTGTTCGCAGCCTTCTTGTTTTTCTTGGCAATTTCTCGCATTTGTGATGCCAAATACATCCCAATCGCGTGCCAATTATCTTCCTCCGCATCTAAACACTTAACTGCACGCTGCAAAATGTCACTTTTGTCTACCTTTACAATCTCAGCAGCGGCATGTTGTGAAGTACTTCCAGAGTCATCCAAATCTAATGTTGACACTGTACTTGACATTTTTGACACAGAGTGGTCGTTGTAAAATTGCATTGCAGACCAATGCGGCCAATGTGGTATGGTATTTTCGGCTCCCTGACCAGATTTTGATTTTAGTTTTTTTTTTACATTTTGAAAGGCCGTTTTAATGTTGCACCATTTGGCCTTGCAGTCTTCCACCGTGTGCCCTGTACACATTTTTTCAATTTCCCGCCATGCCTGCTCCCGTTTATTCCTATCTTTGTACTCGGTGGATGAATACTGCCAAACACATGGATGCTGTTCCACAGCTTGTATCAGCTCCTGTATTGCAGTGTAGGTCCAGGAACAAATTACACTTGGTTTTTTTCTTTTTTTCGGCACAGGTGTTTCTGGTTGCTGATCGGGGGAAAAGAACTCAAGCTCAGCTGAATTTTCGTATACAATGCAATCACCGAATTCCATATTAAAGCTGCAAATACATAATATGAACATAATTATAGCAAATACAACAATTTAAATTAACTTTACTTTACTTACGACAAAGAAATGTTGACGGTACAAACACAAGAAAAAATATTATTTAAAAAAAATCAGGTTATTGACGCGTATTGTCTTCTTTGATTGACGCACTAGAAAACAATAAATATTGACGCATTTTTCAAATTTAAATTTGCGCAAGGTTGTCTATTAACAGTTCACACGATTGTCGTACCAGAGTTGTATTTGATTGCCGCAAATCAGCACAATTTATTTTTGATTGTCGCATTGGACAATAAATTGTGCAATCACACGATTGGCATATAAAATGCACCAATAATTGGCGCATTGCGGCAATCGTGTGATCCCGCCTTAATATTACTTTATAGCAAACTATTATTCATTGACTTCTGAATTGTATTTTCTTGTCAACGAAAAAATATTTTTACTTCCCAAATACAATTTTGTGTGTTCAGATCATTTATCTCTAAAATAATTTATCACACATATTGCCCCTCTAACAGGTTATGGGCTCCATCGCAATGAAGTTTTTGAGAATATCTTTTGCGAAATTAAGCGCAGATAATTACCATTTATGGAAGTTCAAGGTGGAATTAATCTTGCGTAAAGAATGTTTGTGGCAATGTGTTACTTTCGCTGTTCCTAGTAATCCCAATGCGGAATGGAAAAAAAGGAAGGAATCAGCGACGGTAATAATTGGCCAGTTGAAGACAATCAACTGATAAAGAAAGCAACGAGCGCCCTTGATTGTTGGAATATTTTGAAACACCATCATGAAAAACTACGCTTGGGAGTAGTGTACGAAGTGAGGCAATATGAAATTATCAATGGAAGTTGATATTAATGAACATATAATGGACATGAAGTTACTATTCGAAAAATTAGAAGCTATAGGCGAGAAATTTTCCGAGCGATGGTTGGTGGCTATGCTTTTTAGTAGTCTTCCGTCCACATTTGACACGCTAGTCACGGCCTTGGAAGTTCGAAGAGTTGATGAACATGCCTGATTGAAGAATGCCAACGCATGAAAGGTAATGTACCTTCGAATTCAATTCTCAAAACATCGTAACGCTCTAAAGAACGCTAAATAAAGCGATGTCATTTCTGTAAAGCAAAAGGTCATCTGAAAAAAGATTGCTGGAAATTCAGGAAAACCAAGAACAATAATTCGGACAAAGCGAACAAGGCGAAAGAAGAGAAAGCTATTAAAGACAACTATTGTTTTTCAGTAAATTGTGACGCAACACATTGGGTTCTTGATTCCGGCGCAACATGCCATATCAGTTCAAATCGTGCGCATTTTTCAACGTTGGATACGAATGCCCATGAGCTAGTCTCGGTTTCAAATGGAGAATTAGTTCTTTCATGTGGCAAAGGCAGTTGCAACATTCAAACAGTGAATTCCAATGGCGAGACATTTAATGTCAAAATCAAAGATGTGTTGTTTAAAAATGGGTTTAAAGTTATTTTCAATGAATCGAATTCGAAAATTGTGGCCGCTATGTCGAGACGTATGCCGGTTTATTCCAACTTCTTGAAAATCAACAAGCAATGTCAGCAACATGCAACTCGACGAACTGTCAGCAATATTGGCACAAAATATTCGGTTATAGAGATGTTTAAGCTCTTCGAGAAATGGAGAAAAGGGAATTGGTAAAGGGATTAAAGATACGCGATTGTGGTGTGAAAAGGGTCTGTAACATATGTATAAAAAGTAAAACGTTGAAGAAACCTTTCAATAAAAACTCTGAGTGGAAATCAGTGAGGGTTTTAGACATCATCCACTCGTAAGTATGTGGACCCATGCCAACGCGACGCCCGGAGGAAAGCGTTATATTCTTACATACATTGATGATTTTAGCAGATATACATACGTCTACCTTCTTAAAAACAAAGATGAAGTGTTTGATAAAATGAGATGCTTCTTAGAACTTATAAAGAATAAGTTTTCAAGATACCCATCCGTTATAGGATCCGATAATGGTGGTGAATATACCAGTAAGAATGTGTGGAAATATTTGGAAGAAAGAGGAAGAGGCAACATACTGTACCCTACTGCCCGCAGCAAAATGGTGTTGCTGAACGGAAAAATAGATCTCTTGTCGAAATGGCAAAATGTCTACTTGCAGAAGCCAAACTTCCCAATTTGTTTTGGGGGGAAGCAATAATGACAGCCAACTATTTACAATAACTGTTTGTTTTCTCTTTCGAGACGAGCTTAATGATATGAAATTTGCAGTGAAAATATCGCCGATCGATATTTCACCTTACCAAGTATGGGAAAAGAAAGTACCCAATATAAACCTTTTGCATGTTTTTGGAAAGGTCATGTCTTTATACCAAAAGAAAAATATCGAAAGTTAGATGATAAAACTGAAATTTTAACGTTCATGGGTTATGACCACAACTCAAAAGGATTCAGATTTGTTAATCCAATTACCAAAAAGGTAACTATCAGCAGAGATGCAAAATTTACAACGGATTTAAATAGCGACTATTGTGATAATTCAAAACCACATGACTCGGAAGTTCAACTCGATGTTTTTACAAAGAAAGCAAATTCCAATAATGTTCTATACGACGGCCATATAGAGAATTCTGCCGATAATATTCAGTCCGAAGAAGATATTTTTTTTGAAAGCATGGACTATCAAATTGAAATATTTTCAAATGATACAAATGAACCGCTAAAATTGTACAGATCAACTCGTAAAACATTAGGAAAATTTGCTGCAAAATACGGGTGTAGTGTTCTTAAATATGAAGAGATTCAGGAACCAAAAACATTTAGTGATGCAATGAACGAAATAACATCTCTAAGAAACTTTATACGTGGGAGCTAGTATATACGGACTTAAACAAGCTGCTCATATATGGAACAACAGATTTAACGATGTCCGTCTGTCTCTCCATCTATCTGCTGAAATCACGATTCAGCCACACATTATTTGACGTAGAGCTTCAAAATTTGACAGAACAATTTGTATTGTGTCTAATATGGTTGGTATTGAATATTAGATATATCGGTCCACGTTTTGATATAGCCGCCACACTCCCAATGTTCGGTATGTTGATGATTTTTGCCACATTTTTCCACGGATATGTCTAAAAATTGGTACTTGTAGTTCGTAATGGATTTTAGCTCCGGTAGCGAGACATTTTTTGTATAGGTCCACGTTTTGTGTAGCCCCCATACAACGGTACCTCCCGATATTCGGTATTTTGATGATTTTGCCACATTTTTCTACGGATTTGTCTAAAAATTGGTATTTGTAGGCCATAATGGATTCTAGCTCCTGTGGTGAAACATTGTATGTATATTCGGTATTTTTATGATTTAGCCACATTTTTCTACGGATTTGTCTAAAAATTGGAATTGAAAGTACATCAAATTTGGTTGTAAATCGGTTCAGATATAGCTGCAGCTCCCATATATATGTTTCATCTGATGTAGGGGTTTGATTCCCTCACATGCGTAATAGCACTCCACAGGAATGATATTTGGTCCCGGGCATTGGATATTTCTCGATAATACGTATGGAAAATTTTATCGAGTGTTTGTTTGTTTGTTTGTAATTTATGGACTCGAAAACCGCTGAATAGATTTTCCTGAAAATTTCCATATATACTGCAACATCGCCTGAAAGTAACATAGGCTATATACATTTTTGAATTTCCACTTGGAACTGGAGATATAGCATCAGAATCGGAGGTACCTCCCAAAAATTTAGATTTTATATGCACATATCTATTGATTGGCAGATTTGGATATAGCTCCCATATATATTTTTTTGACCGATTTCGTTTATTTGATGCCTCAAACACAATATGAACGTTCGATTCCAATGAAATTTGGAATGTGTGACGGGATTTAATCCGAAAATAAATTTGTCAAATTATATTGAAATCGGTTCAGATTTGGATATAGCTCCCATATATATTTTCGGCCGATTTCAAGCATTTGATGCACCAAACACGCTATGTATCCCCAATTTCAATGAAATTTGAAACGTGTGATAGATTTTATCTAAAAAATTGATTTCACAATTTATATTGAAATCGGTTCAGATTTGGATATAGCTCCCATATATATTTTCGACAGATTTCATGTATTTGATGCACCAAACACGCTATGTATCTCTAATTTCAATGAAATTTGGAATGTGTAGCGGAAATTAAAACAAATATACATTTGTCAAATTATATTAAAATCGGTTCCGATTTGGATATAGCTCTCATATATATTTTCGACCGATTTCATGTATTTATGCACCATAGACGATATGTATGTTGGATTCCAAAGAAATTTGGAATATGTATCGGGATTTTGATTAGAAAATAAATTAGTCAAATTATATTAAAATCGGTTCAGATTTGGATATAGCTCCCATATATATTTTCCGCCGATTTCACATATTTGATGTACAAAACACGATACGTATATCCGATTCCAATGAAATTCGGCATGAGTGGCTCCCATGTATATATTCAGTCGATTTCACATATTTGATGCACCCAAAGCGAGAGAGACAAAATCTGGCACCAGAAAAAATTGCCAAATTATATTGAAATCAGTTGAGGTTTGGATATAGCTAACATATATATTTCGGCCGATTTCATATATGTTATGCACCAAACATGATATATATGACCGATACCAATGAAATTCAGAATGTGTGGCGGAATTTGGTTACAATAATAAATGTCACAAATTAATTGGAAATTAGTTAAGATTTGGATATAGCTCCCATATATATATTATCGGCCGATTTCACATATCTGACGCACCAATTTCAATGAAATATGAAAGGTGTGGCGGAATTTGGTGTAAAAGTATTTTTTTAAAATTATATTTAAACCGGATCAGATTGGGATATGATTTTAATAAGAACCATTGACCCACAACGCCTTAGGCTAACACTAAAAAACAATACAACAATTGATTTGAAATACGCTTATTACGG